GGCAGAAGCAAGAGAATCGCTTAAGCCCAGGAGTTTGAGGTTGCTGTGAACTGTGACGCCACAGCTCTCTACTGAGGGCGACATAATGAGACACTGTCTGAAAAAAAAAAAAGTAACAAGTTTTAGGGCAGCGCCTCTGGCTCAAAGGAGTAGGGTTCTGGCCCCATATGCCAGAGGTGGTGGGTTCAAACCCAGCCCCAGCCAAAATAAATAAATAAATAACTAAAGTAACAAGTTTTGCTCACATCAGCAGAGCAGGTACAAATTTTCTTAGTTGGAAAAAATAAGGCTAAATAATTACATGTACAATGTGGTTGTAATCATTCAAGTTTAAACTATACATAAATAAAGTAACTGGAAAATTATATTCAAAAGAGTAACAGTGATTTTTCAGTCTTGCAGATGTATAGATAACTTCAAGCCTTTTCCTTATTTTCCAATGTTTTTACACACTACCTTTAAAGTTTAAAACACATATAATAATTAACCACATGCAATGGCTCTTGCCTGTAATCCTAGCACTTTGGGATGCTAAGAAAGAGGATCACTTGAAGCCAAGAGTTCAAGACTGGCCTAAGAAAGACTGAGACCTTGTTTCTCCAAGAAAAAAAAAAATTTTTTTAATTAGCCTGTAGTCCCAGCTACTCTGGAGGCTGAGGCAAGAGGATCTCTTGAATTTAGGAGTTTGAGGTTGCAGAGAGATATGAAGACACCTCCACACTCTACCCCAGGCAATAGAGTGAGACCTCATGCCCCCCCCCCAAAAAATACATACAATAATTATAATAAGCTAGCTTTCTTTAAATATGTGTTCTTAGTAGTTGAGGTAGATTAAAATATGCTGTGTTATTGTATGAGAGGGTAAAAAAAAAGTCCAAAAATTATTTTCAACTTAAGGGAACAGTTTATAATGAGAAATAAGATAAATGTATATCAATTAGTTTGGGGGTTGTTTGCTTGCTTGCTTGTTTTGACACAGAATCTCACTCTGTCACCCTGGATAGAATGCTGTGGCACATCACAGCTCACAGCAACTTCAAACTCTTGGGCCCAAGTGATATTCTTGCTTCAGCTTCTGGAGTAGCTAGGATTACAGGTGCCTACCACAACAGCTAGCTAATTTTTTTTTATTTTTATTAGAAACAGGTCTCATTCTTGCTCAGGCTGGTGTCAAGCTCCTGAGCTCTAGCAATTCACCCACCTCAGCCTCCTAGAGTGCTAGGATTATAGGTATGAGACACTGCACCTGGCCTGTCAATTAATTAGCTTAAACTCATCTGTAGTCTGTGTGCCAGTCACATAGGGAAGCAGAATCAGAATACCCACAGGAAGAAGGCAATCATAAATACACTATAATCTGCTGGCTGAGAAGGTTCCTCCCCTCTGCTCAAAATTTAACCAGAACTCTTAAATTTCATCATTAAATGTTTAACCTTGATACTGAAACTGGTAGTACCAAGACAAATGTTCCTTCTTCTCTAGACCCTACCCTTTTACTCTTTTAGAAAATGACTTCTGAAAATTAATAGCAAATAGACCAACCTTTCCTTCATAAAAACTGCTCAATAGAAAGCCTTTCAATACAACTGGTTGATGCCATTTGAAGTTGTTGTTTTTAAAAGACAACAGGAACCATGGCTACGACAACTAACCTCATCACCACAGGTTTGCAAAATAAGTCATTCATTTGGAAAAACTTTAAGTTGTATCAGTAATGTCTCACGTCCACGATAACTATCACTGCAGTAAGAAATCACAATAAAATGCAGGTAGCTAGTTGGTACTCTCAGTCCTTCCTGTCAAAATCCAGACAAGCAGTGGAGCTCAGAATTTTCCCCCAGAGTATGACATTGTACCTGAAAGCACAGTGTCCTCAGAGGAGACAGAAATGTCTCTCTGTCATTACTTGAGTGTCAAAAAAAAGTCACTATTTCTTTTCTTTCTTTTTTTTTTTTTAGTAGAGACAGAGTCTCACTTTATCACCCTTAGTAGAGTGCTGTGGCATCACAGCTCACAGCAACCTCCAACTCCTGGGCGTAGGCAATTCTCTTGCCTCAGCCTCCCAAGTAGCTGGGACTACAGGCACCTATCACAATGCCCAGCTATTTTTTTGTTGCAGTTTGCCCAGGGCCAGGTTCAAACCCTCCACTGAGGGCCAGAACCCTACCCACTGAGCCACAGGCACTGCCCAACAATTTCCTCTTTAATTCCAAAGAAAATATTCCTCCTTGACATGTGACCTCATATCATGTTTTCATATTCATGCAGGACCTACTATCATCTATTAATTTTCCTGGTAGCTTAAAAATAAAGATGATCGGCCAGGCATGGTGGCTCACACCTGTAATCCTAGCACCCTGGGAGGCTGAGGCAGGTGGATTGCCTCAACTCAGGAGTTCGAGACCAGCCTGAGCTAGAGTGAGACCCCTGTCTCTAAAAAGAGCTAGGCATTGTGGAAAGCACTAGCTACTTGAGAGGCTGAGCCAAGAAGATCACTCGAACACAAAAGCATGAGGTTGCTATGAGCTATGAGGCTACAGCACTCTACTGAGGGCAACAAAGTGAGATTCTGTCTCCAAAAAAAGACAATCCCCCAAATGCCATTTTTCTTTAATCTTTAAGATATCTTATAATTTTCAAGAGGAAGTAGAAAGCATAAAATGAGACCCTTGGATATTGTATGTCCTCTGCAAAATATATTAAATTTGTTAGGCAAGAATTTTGAAATACAGAGAATGACATCCACATTAAAACTTCATATTTCTATAGCGATATAAATAAAACATCTCTCCATCATAAATACTTATGAGTAATAATGTTTATTTAACAGTAAAATCTTAGTCAACCAAAATAACTTGTATATATAAACTGGGTTCCAAAGAAGATATTCCCCCTTGACTATGTGACCTTCTGCCATGTTTTCACATCGGTGCAGGACCTACCATCCTTAGGCGTCCTTTCAGACTGAGCCGTGCCTGTCTTTCATCCTGGCCATAGCAAAGCACCAAGTGTGTGCACCTCCCCCCGCTTCCATGTAGATTCCCCTTGATAGCACCTTGCCTCAAACCAGTTCCAGGAGCCTCTTGTCGTTAGCCAGGTGTTCTCTGTTGGCCCTACCATGCAGGTGACACAGAAGCTTTGTGCCCATGCACACATGTGCTACCCAGGAGGGCAAGACCAAAGATTTGACCAATGACAGGTAAAGACTTCTCCCTGTTGGAAGTGTTTCGGATTGTGTGTGAAAACCCCACACTGTACCCCAGAAGTGCATTAATGTACATAGTTACCATTCAATAAAAAAAAAAAAGACTTCTCCCTGTCACAGAAGAACAGCCCTAGATATGTTTTATACAACTCATCGTCTGTAGAGACGTATATTTGATCATATATGCATATCCTCATTTTGCAACAGCCTCCTTTTTTACACAATCACTCACTCAATCTTTGATCCCTGGACTCAAATTCCTCAGGAAAGTGTTTGGAAACAAGTCCTTATCCGAAGCTCTGCTCCCTGGAAAACCTACGCTAAGACCACGACTGTGGAGCATACAGTTATAGATAATCAGGATTACAGTAGTCCGATAGTGTCGTTACAACAGCTCAAGAGTGGGTAAAAATTAACATCATTACCATCATCATCAGCCGTGTAAAAAACAAAAGAGACAGGCGGCGCCTGTGACTCAGTGAGTAGGGTGCCGGCCCCACATACCAAGGGTGGAGGGTTCGAGCCCGGCCCCAGCCAAACTGCAACAAAAAATAGCTGGGCGTTGTGGCAGGTGCCTGTAGTTCCAGCTACTCAGGAGGCTAAGACAAGAGAATCGCTGAAGCCCAGGAGCTGGAGGTTGCTGCGAGCTGTGAAGCCACAGCACTCTATTGAGGGTGATAAAGTGAAACTCTGTCTCTAAAATAAATAAATAAATAAAAGTAAAAGAGATCACCTGGTTCAATTCTCTTCATGAGTTCAAGACCCACGCTCCAACTAATGAAATAGACATATGTATGCTGTATGTGCTATAAGCACCTATATCTCACATTTGAAAGACTGTTTAACTTTTCCTAGTTTTCTTTGCTTTAAGAACTAAAATTTTAAAGTTTGAAAAGAGTGTATTTTTTTAAAACATTTTTTTCTCCAGTGAAAGAAAGGCAATCAATCAGTTCATAGGTCCATATCCAGAGACTGGAACACATGAACGTGGCTTCACCATAACACACACACATGCACACACTTGCTCACACATATATAGCCAGGAGAACAATTGCATATTCACACAAAGACAAATATATACCATGACAAAATAGACTAAACCTTAGAAATAAATATTCTGAACAGGGCATATTTTTACCTAAGTGTCCCACATTAGCTGATGATCATAGTGCAAATTATGCCCTGGATGAATAAAAATAAGACACAACAGATTATATTCATGTTGCTAAGTCTTTACTGAATTAAGTTCCCCTCACAAATTGTGTTGGACAAAAAGTCAAAGACTACATTAAATGCTGTTAATTGTGCATTTAATAACTTCCAATACCCATAGGGTACTATATATATATTATTTCTATACATTTTTTTCTCTGTGAAAAGGGCAGAAAAAAATGAAATAAAATAAAAATGGCATTGAAGTGGGAGGATGGAAGAAAGCTAAAGAAGTCGATTGGAGCGTGGTCGGAGCCGGTGACACAGGATGCTCGTGTCTTTCCCCACCACGAGTGCAGTGGCCTGGCCCCTTCCTCCCAGGTTCACCATCCTGTTCCATCTCATGCTCCACCAGCCCCTTAGAAAGTGGGCAGGGAGCAGCCTTCCTAGGCTGAGAAGAGAAGAACCAGCACTAGAGGAAGGGTCCTGGGGTCAGACCATGCATACAGAGTAAAAATGGCCCCCCATTATTCCTCCAAGGGAGAGATTTTTTTAAATAATATGAAAAATTTTGTTTTGTTTTCATTTTGGTTTGAAGAAAGTCTTTTGACCATCTCAATATTTGTATTTATTTTTTCACTATACTTGTAGCAAGGATTACTGTCAAACTCCATCACTGGGCCAGAGACCCTTGTGGGGTTAGCATGTAGCACACCACCTACCCTTGTGAGTTCACGGCCAAAGTGGCCTAAACTCCAAGCTCTAACTATGTCCTCTCAATATTTTTAGCAGATTTCAAATTATTTGCAACTTCATTTTCATATTTTAATTGACAGAAAAGCAGTCTTTGAGTGTGTGTGTGTGTTCTTTTTTTCAAATTAATATGAGGGTATAATTTTTAGATTACATTGTCCTCACTTCTAGGGTAAAGTTCCAGGTGTAAAAGAGCCCCTCACCCAGGGGGCGTGTTATACACCCTCACAATGTGCACATTAGGTGAGATCCCACCTCATACCCTCCCTTCTTCTGCCAGTTGTCATTCCCCCGCCCCCTCCCATGTCCCTTTACCCCTGTACTAGACTATATCTGTGTTTTATTGTTCATATGAGCACATAATTGTTTATATATTGGTTTCATATTAGTATGGAGTACATAGGATATTTATTTGTCCACACTTGTAATACTTTACTAAGAAGGATGTATTTCAACTCCATCCAAATAAATTTAAAAGATGTAAAGTCTCTATCTTTTTCATTGGCTGAATAGTGTTCCACGGTATACATATACTACAGTTTGTTGATCTATAGGTTGCTTCCATGCCTTGGCAATTATGAATTGAGCTGCAATAAATATTCTGGTGCAAATGTCTTTGTGGTATAATGATTTCTGTTCTTCTGGGTAGTTACCTAGTAATGGGTTTGCAAGATCAAATGGAAGGCACACTTTTAGATCTTTGAGAATTCTCCATACTTCTCTCCCAAATGGCTGTATTAGTTTGCAAACCCACCAGCAGGGTAGAAGTGTTCCCTTCTCTCACATCCACGCCAGCATCTGGTGATTTGGGACTTTGTGATGTGGGCTACTTTTGGGGGGTTGGGTAATATCTTAGAGCGGTTTCCAAGGGAGAGATTTGGGTGGAAGAATGTTAGCGGCTGGACAGCAGAGGCCTGTGCTGGCTCCTCTTTAGCTTCAGATGAGAGATGGACGGACTAGTGAGCCTTCTGAGCAAAGCACTTAGTACCTCTGTGCATTTTAATATTTTTTTCACCTAGTCATCTTATTTAACCCTCCATATCTATGAAACAATTGATTTTATCATTCTCATTTTACAAATAGAGCAATAAAATTCGGAGAAGATAAATTACTCACTGAGGGTACAATATATTACACACACTGCAAATCAGGATTTATCGATCTATTTCTTGAGCCATCCTTTCAAACTCTTGACTTCATTTTTTCTCTGGTTACTCATTACTATTTTCTTCCATATACCAGCGTTTCTGCAAACCACTTTCCTAATTTGATATTCTAAAAGGTTCTCAAACGTCTGATTTCATTTCCCTAAACATCACCAACCCTTCGTGTGTTTATGGTCTTCTCTGCTTCTAACCCTTTAGATCAGCCGAAATCATTCCTAAACCACAAGCCTCCAATTTCTGCAGATACAAACTAGCTGCCTTCCTAGCAGTCCTCTCTTTGCTTGAAGGGCCCTGATTCATGTGGTGCCTCCCTCCGCCTGCCACATGAATCAAAGAAGGGTCATCCCATTCTCGTTTCCAACAGTAAATCCTCCTAGGTTGGTGCCAATAATTATGGTTCCCCTTATTTTTCCAGAGATTGACTTAATAAAGGGCGGTCATATAACATATTTCTGCCCAGTGAAACATAAGGGACAGGATATGGGAGGGACTCTCAGAAAGGTTTTCTACTGTTGTTATAAGCTAAATTGTTTCCACCCACCCATCCCAAATCACAGTTTGAAGCTCTAACCCCCAATTCCTCAAAATGGTAGAGAAAAGATCTATCAAGAAGTAATTAAATAGGGTGGGATGTAAGATTGCCTAATCCAATCTGACTGATGATCTTTCAAGAGGAAATTTGGATCCTCCAGAAAGACACCAGGGATGTGCACACCAAGAAAAGACCACATAGGGAAATGGAGGGACAGTGGCCATCTGCAAGCAGGAAAAACGGCCTCAGTAAAGCCAAACCTGTGACATCTTGACCTTGGAGCTATGAGGAAATTAATTTCAGTGGTTTAGGCCACCTAGTCTGCAAAATTTCATTCTAACAGTTTAGCAATCTGGGCAGCACCTGTGGCTCAATGAGTAGGGTGCCGGCCCCATAAACCAGGGGTGGCAGGTTCAAGCCTAGCCCTGGCCAAAACTGCAAAAAAAAAAAAAAAACAGTTTAGCAATCTTATGCAAGCATTAAAAAATGACATTCAAATAAATAGGTAAGTAATGATATTAGGAAGAAAGCACCTTTCTGTTATGGTCACTTTCATATCTGGATGTGAGTATGGGAATGTCTTAGTCATCTTACAACTGTGCAGCAAATCCATCTGAAAACGAGTTTCTGAGTTGAATATGGCAGATCTGGGGGGAAAAAAGGACAAATAAGCAAAAACCTGATTCATTAATGATATTGAGCCACTGAATTAACAAAAGCTGGATCACTCTGCCTCCAAAATTTCTCCTACAGGAGGAATATGTTTTCCTGACTTTGTTCAGCTGTGGTTTTCTATAAATTATAGCCAAAATAATCTTACCAATACAACCACTCAACTAAGGTTTAGCTATTGACAAGCGAAGTCTGTTTCAGCAATTACTCTAGAATTTACTCTCTAACTTCTCAGTTTTATTCTAACCTTGAACTCTTGGCTCTGAAAGTTTGCCGCCAACCTGTCTGTGGGCTTTTAACTTATCTATAACTTATCCATTGTCTCCCAAGCATTTGATTCGAAAGTGTCCCCAACAGATGTTTACTCAGTCCCTCTTAGGTGGGAATTACAATCCTGGATCCATCCAACTATAATGAAGTCCAAGACCAGTTCCAAAATGTAGGCAAACTCAGAAGGATAAGCTAGTAATCTACTTCTCAATAAATATATATTTTTTTCATTTTTTGAGACAGAGTCTCAGTATGTCTCCCTCAGTAGAGTGCCATAACATCATAGCTCATAGCAACCTCAAACTCCTGGGCTCAAGTGATTCTCTGATCTCAGCCTCCCAAGTGGCTGAGACTACAGGCACACACGCTGCCACAATGCCCAGCTATTTTCAGAGATAGGGTCTTGCTCTTGTTCAGGCTGGTCTCGAACTCCTGACCTCAAGCAAACCACCCATCTCAGCCTCCCAGAGTGCTTGGATTATAGTTGTGAGTCATCAAGCCCAGCCTCTCAATAAATATTTAAAGAAAGTAATCTATTAGGAAAAGAATAATGTGGTTTCTGTAAGAGGATATCAGAACTGTCTAGTAGGAGTCTTCAAAAGGGTACATTAGTAGACAAATAAGAAAAACAAGCAGAGATAAACTGTTTAGACTTTAATTCAGACCTGTCAAGCACAGATTATCTTAAAGGTGAATCTTCATTGTATTGTACAGTTGGTGCTGCACATCCAATGGTTCCACATCCACAAATTCAAACAACTGCTGATGGAAAATATTTGGGGTAAATATTACACCTGAACTGAACATGTACAGACTTTTTTCTAGTGATTTCTTAAAGCAATACAGCATAACAACTATTTATATCAGGTGTCCTCAAACTACGGACTGCAGGCCACATGCAGCCCGCCTAGGACATTTACCTGGCCCGCTGGGTATTTTTGCCGCTGCTGCCTGTCCTGCTTAGCAGCTGACTCATCCCGGGGCCCACAGTCCAGCCCTCCAACAGTCTGAGGGACAGTGAACTGGCCCCCTGTTTAAAAAGTTTGAGGACCCCTGATTTATATAGTATTTACATTATAGTAGGTATTATAACGATTTAAGGAACGATATAAAATATAGGAAGAATGTGCATAGGTCATAAGCAAATACAGTAGAACCTCCATAGTTGACCACCTCCCCACACTGACCACCTCCTAAGTTGCCCTAATTAGCTGCTTGGAAGGTTGAGGAAGGATTAGGGTGAGGGTTGACCACTTGAACCCAGAAATTTGAAGTTGCAGGTTGCTGTGAGCTATGATGGTACCACTGTCCAGGCAGCACAGTGAGATTCTGTCTCAAAAAAAAAAAAAAAAGAGAGAGAGAGAGAAGGGAACGAGCAGCATAAATAATAGATCTATACGAACAAGTCATAAAAAAATTAAAAACCATCTATTTTCTACTGCTACTCTCACCGTCTGTTACTAACAGAAAAAAAAATAAAAGAAACTTACCTTACATTTTCAGATCTAGAGAAAAGAACATTGGGTCTGATTCAGTTCTTATCTTCTTGTGTTTCTGTGTTCATTTTTAAACAAGTAAACGTAGCATACCCTGGATTTAGAACCTATCCACCTTATTTTGGCAAAACAACCTCATTGTCTTTTTCAACCTTTGCCTTTTGCAAAAATCCCACTGCAAAATCAAATGCAATTTGATCAGAGGGAGAGAAAAAAATAGGAAAATTTTAAGGAACTATATGGTTTAACCTTAATAAAAATATGGCTTATGTTTTGAACAATGATCATTTGTGGTTCCCCCAATCTTATTTGAATCCAAAACTCTTGGCTGCCACTATGTGCTATGACATTAGTACATACTTTCCCCTTTTTTCCCCCATAGCAACCTCAAACTCCTGGACTCAAGCAGTCCTCCTGCCTCAGCCTCCCAAGTAGCTGGGTCTCAGGCACGCACAACCATGCCTACCTAATTTTTCTATTTTTAGTACAGACTGGGTCTCGCTTTACTCAGGCTGGTCTTAAACTCCTGACCTGCAGTCCTAGCAGACTACTCTGGCAGAATGGAACCTGCAAAAGACAAAATTCCAACCATTCTACTCACGAGTTGCCTGGCTCTAAGTGAGAAGCCCCAGTGAGAATAAATTCCATGAGCTCTGATATTGGCCCTGGGCATGGAGGTGAAAATTGTGCCCAGTCTTTCGTCTTTGCCCTAAGACCCAGTTAGTTCTAGAGAAATCTATATTAAAATGTACGCAACTGGAGCCTGCAATGATGATATTTTGAGCAAAAGGAAGGTTTAGGGTTTTATCCATGAGTAAACAGATGGCACACACAAAAGTTTAAATGAAGAGAGTTTAATGAAGGAAATTGTCACAGACATGAGAGAGG